TTTGTAATTACTGGAAGACGCCATAGACCCTGCATTTTCAGCCATAATTGAAAATCAGAATGATCGGCGGTACATTGCGAATAGGTTGATGTTCCAACAGGATGGTGCCGCACCACATTACGCATTACGTGTTCGACAATATTTAGATTAGACGATTCCAGATCGAAAGATTAGTAGAAGAAGTGCTATTGAATGACCCCCAAGATCGCCAGATTTATCACCTTTGGATTTCTTTATGTGGGATCATTTGAAAAACAAAATGTATGCTACTCAGCCAACATCATGAAAAGACCTGCGACAAATAATTTTGGATGAGTGCCTTCAAATTACTCCTCAAATATTGCAAAATGTGCGGCAACGTTCTGAGCAAAATCTTTATTATTGCATGGAGAGTCATGGTGGTCATTTCCAACATTTACTTGCTTAACGGGTCAGTTCATTCTTTATTTTTAAATTACTTTGCTGCCAAATATGCCACTAATGATGATGTATTAGTTTTATTTAAGCTTTAAATCAATAAATCTTCAAAACTACTGAACTGAAGTACATTAATTTTATATCGTTATAAAGGGAATTGAAAGACCTTTGAAATAAGGTATCACTCGAGTCCCCCTCGAAAACGAAATCGACGGGTCTGAGCGTTTTTAAAAAAAAAAACTGAGCAGCCAGTAAATGCGTCTGTTTCGTTTTCGATGCGCCACCCTGTATATTCATTACCTTTTGATCCGTAGTAGCTTGCATTCAGTACAAAGATATTGCATGCCTTAGCTCGTGCTAGTGTTCTCAGCTTTCAGCACTGTCACACTTTATAGCTTTTACTTGTGACTTTGCATTAAACCATGCCTTTATTCCCAGTTCTAGTTATGTGTTTTCTCTAGTCTTCTCCGAAAAGTGACCATAGCAGACCATATTTTTTTATGTACTATACATTCAAGTTATAAATTGTAGTTCTGTCCACTATTGCATCGGATTTCTGCATATTTTGCGCCATTTTCTCAATTTGACAACTGGGCATCAAATAATATCTCCCAGTACGTGATTTTACCTACTACTCGTATTATTTAACCTTAATTATTAGGTTACAAGAAAGCCTCATATTTGCCCTTGCAGATATCTTAAACCTATGCTTTTTATTCCTGAGAGAGATGCTATCTTATAGAACTAGAAAATCGATGTACTAAGCCGTTGGACGTAATTTACCCGTTTGGTTATGGGCCAGTCCGTGAAGCATAATATATGCTCATATATTATGAACACGTTATATGCCTCGTTGCTTTTCAGTGTCCAATAAACCCGGATCTTAATCGACCCTAGCCGGAACAAGGTCTCCTCAATTTTCGCCCTCACACGGCTATGTGTAGTAATTAGATGAAGACACCGAGAGGATAGAAGTTAGTACTGGCAATATCTGGCTCTAGGTTAATAGTCCATCCTTTGTGGTAGTTTTTCATCAGCGAAGGGCTTTTACGCGTATACGTTAACGGTCTGCGTTTCGACGTAGACAACGTACACAATGCGTATACAATGTAGACAATACGTATACAATGTGTACAGGGGTGTATACAGTGTATAGAGTAACATAGGTGGAGTGCTATTGTTTACATTTTCTACATTGTTTTCATTGTCTACATCAATGTTAAGGCGTATTCAATTACAATTGTATACGCGTATACAATGGTGTATTTTAAATGAAGCCACCATCACTCTATTCCACACCTCATACCAATATTAAAGGTCTTTCTGACCCGGAAGCGCTAAATGTTGCACTCATAAACATAACTGGCAACCTGGCATAGGTAACTGAGGTTACGTAAAACATCAAAGGGTGTCAGTCTAACACAGGTTATTAGATCTACACTAGTGATTTCTTTATCGTGTTTTGTGAGCATAAGTGAACATTTCTAGGTTATGAATGTTAACATACTGGTCATTTACACCGCTTATAGACAACTACAGGACTCTTCTATTCCGTGCATTAACATCACAACGTGATAAGAGATGGTGTAGTGATGATTTATTTATACCGAGCATTGATTGCTATACAGGGCCTTAGAGCAGCACTAATTATTTTAGGATATAAGCATGGCCCGCACAGGTATTATGTAAAAACCTCTTGCAGACTAAGTAGTTTTTAGGGTGCAAATAGTCATTCCACGGTTGCTCACTAGGATAGTTGTGGACGTCCATCTATGGAGGAATGGTTCAACTACACGTACACGCATTGTTGGTTGCATATGCATTTCTGAGTCTCTGAGAAAAAAGTTGGTTATTTGGTTGAATAGCAAGATCGCATCTGGATGATGTTGTGTCTTCATGTGTATAAAATCAGTGGTATTTGCTGTGTGAGAAAATCATTACTGAATATAATGCCAATGAAGTATATCTATAAGCTGTGAACGACGGGTTATTCATATGCTGTCCTTTCGGAAGGCATGTTATGTTCAAAGTTATCAATTACGATTCTCTAAGTTTTCTTGTGTCTTCAAAAACTTTAAGGAAATCACAAGAATCCAATGGAATTATCAACACATATTATTAGCACACAAAGACAGACCAGATAATATGTTTTCCAGGATTGTAGATCAAAACACATGTAGGTTCTCATCTGTTAGAACCACCCGTACAATCTAATTTATGATCTTTTTCATTACTTGGAACGTATATATACGAAACTCTCCCATGCAGTTCGTCAAGCAATGTGACCGTTATTGGGCCTTTGGATAAAAGATAACGCTTAGCCCCAGAAAACGCTATCAGTGTTTTTGCTATACTCTGTAAGTTCTCGCGCTTTTAGAACCAATCCACGTGTGGCATTTCAAAATAGACTGCTGTGTTTTACTGCCAGCCTAAATTGTGTCGGGTAGCTTACCTCTGCGATTCCAGGTATTTACATTTATGCGTATCTTTAGTTTGATAATGTGGCCATGACTCGAGGATAGAATGGGAGACTTGTTTTATAGTTTCTTCCTCAATGATGGTGAGTATTTTAGCATCACCTGCGCTTTTGTTGACTATTAGGCTCAAGTTTATTCCCTCTGATAACTTATTTCATGATGTTTATTGCTATGTTCATTAATTTTACATTTACAGAATTCTACTCTTTCTGGGAGCATTCATTACTTTGATACAAAATATATTATTTAAGGTTTATTGTACTTTTACTTCTTGTTGTCCTTGTCTGGAAATTGAAATAGTCACAAGATGTCTCCATGTTTTTTTTTCTAGAATGAATACTTTATTTACACTTTTGTGCGTACCTACATATATATCATAATAATTCTATTGCTTCATTTCCTTCAGTATGTATTGTCAAATAAATATTAGGGGGTTGTAAACAACTAAAATCCTCCGATTCCACAACATAACGGTCTGCGAAACAATCTAGGTTCAGAAAAGAGTGAAAAGGGTATAAAAGGCAGACAAATGAGTATAGTGAGTCAATTGTGAGTCGACGTGAATGCGGAACCATGACCTAGTTACATAAAACAGTTGTGTATAGGGAGTAATAAATTACTTTCTACTATTATTTTTGCTGATATTGTTAACTATCTATTACACAGCTCCAAATAGATATTCATATATACAGTAGTGACCAAAATTATAGCAATAAATGCATTTTTTCATGAACATATGTAATGTTTTCTTCTAACTATAATTACAATCTTTAAAATACCTTTCATTCACCTTTAGTTGTTGATATTTCCTCAAACCAATAAAGAAGTTATGATGAACTTTTTGGAAACTAGTCAAGCATCCTGAAGATTTTCGAAAAGTTCATGTGCATTCTTGAATATTCTGCTTTTACATTTGTTGTCCACAACTTCCCAAAGATTTTCCATGGGATTCAGGTCTGGGGACTGGGATGGCCATTCATAAAATTAATTTTTTCTTCCTGAAGAAAATCTCTTATCAGTTTCGAAAAATGTTTAGAGTCATTATCATGTTGAAATTGATGTAAAACGGCATAGTTTCCTCCGAATAGGGTAACATAACATTCTTCAGTATATCCATCTACACGATTCGATCCATAATCCCCTCGATTCTTTGTGGACATATCCGATATCCCGAAAAGCAACCCCACACTAAAACTGAACCACCACCATGCTTCACTGTAGGAGAAGTGTACCGAGGGTCAAACGTTTTACCTTTAGGACGTCGAACGTATGCAGCATCATGACTTTTAAACAAGTTGTATTTCGATTCGTCACTAAAAATAACTCGACCTCATTAATCAGTAGTCCAGATCTTAAGTTCGCGTGCAAATTCGAGTCGGGTCCTCACGTTCCTTTTGGATAGAAGGGGCTTCTTCGCCGGTCAGCGGCCAAACAATTTTAGTTCACAAATGCGTCGCCCTATGGATCATTCGCAAAGGTTAGAATATTCAGAATCCTCCATATTCCTTTTAATTTTGGATGAAGACAAAAACGGATTCTTCATGCTATCAGTTCTTCTTGAAATTTTTTGGGGACGTCCAGAATTTTTTTATGTACTACTAGCCCTTTTCACTATACGTGATACAATCGATCTGTTGAGTGAACATTTTTTTGCAATGGATGATTCCTGACATATACTGATTTATTATTATTAGTTTCCTTACGTGAACAGATGCTGTTTTACCACGGCCCATATTGTTGTTTAAATACTTATAAGATCACAATATAAACTTTTTCAAGAACGCACTTGGAAGGAATGAAACGAAATGAATAAATGCGTTGCTATATTTATGGCATATATTTTTTTTTATTGTTGTTGTCGCACAGGTTTAATTTGAAGTAATGCAGCAAGAACTTGAGAAGGAAGAAACAAAAGCCGATAATCTAACCTAATAATCTCCGTAGCATATTATTTTTATTCATAGCGTATTATTAAAGCGATTTTATTGACAAAAATGACTAGACCGGAGCATTAGCCATTTCCCAAGATAGGGCTTGTGTTTAACGGTGTATTTAGCTATATTTTTCTCACGTAATTCATAACCAAAATAAATAACACGCAGACATTTACCTATTATCATGTTTATTTGAAATAACAAACATAACACATGAATACCACGGAATAACTATAATTTTTAATTTGTATCCGTTGTTTTTCTTCTGTAGTCGTTTGGCTGCCTGTATATAGTAGTCAGCATCTTCCATGTCACTGAACAATTTGGGAACTGAAACCAAATATTTCTCAATCAATTAAACATAATCCATCCTGATCTATTCTATAATCCAAAAATGTCAATTATTAAATTTAACGTACAGCAATCGCACTTCATTTTGATCATCTTTACAGTTTCTACCACTAAGTTTATAAATGTGTAGTCAATTTTCCATGCATTCAGGAAATTAATTGAAGAATTTACTCACCCTGATATGGACAATTTCTTTTTGTGTTGCCTAGTAGGTAATTCCCTGGTTCACCATGAGTAATAATTTTAATATTCATCTCCACATATTTTCATAAATAACTCGGTTGCTTCCATCCCATGCTAGATCTTTCACCGTCAAGAAATCAATTGAATCTCCAAATTTTTGCCTCGGGGATTTGTTTACATCCCAACAACAATCCGGTTTGTCACTCCAGAAGTAAAAATAAATAAATAAATAAATAAATGTACATCTATAAATTGAAAGCACCTTCTGAATTAAAAACTATTTGTGTTGCATAAATATTATTACTCACCTATTGGACTATGTATTTATTTTATAGTCAGATGAATTTATTATTGTTTTCTGAAATCTTCCAATGTCAAAGGCTGATGTCGCTGATGTCGAGGTACTTATTCTGCGTACCGAACTACTTGCACACCTCGCTTGTTCGGCATAGTTACCAATGTTATTTCAGAATCTCCTTATGTTTATTAATCAATCAAATTTATAAGCAGATATGACAGTGTTGCCACATTTATTCGCGATATTTCCTTGGACCCGAGAAATTCTACAATTTGTAGGATCTTATTGTCTTCAGCTGCACTTTTCGCCAGACGGAACCACGTGAAAAACCCTACCCGACATCATCTAGGGTTTTTTATTTTGGGGGAATCTTCGCTACTGGAGATCCATTGACAGGTTTTCTACCGGGGACCTCTTTCAGAACAGTGACCCTTTTACCACCATAGGGATTCTTGCGTCATCGGTTTTGAAGCCTTCCTCGCCCATTTCAAATTAGTTAGTCAATAAGCTTTCGCATTAAGCGAGATCTCCTAGTTTGGCTGGCTTAAATTTTTGTTGTTAGCCGTTAGTAGATGTAATAAAATGTATTGATGTTAATTTTAACAATTATTTACCCACACAGAAAATCTATTGTTTGTCTGTATTTTTTTTTTGTTTCTTGGGGTTTTGGGCTAAATAGTGCCTTTCAACACCAAGGTGTCTTCCAATTCTGGCGCCCCTAAAAAATACCCCCCCTACTCTCCGGTGTAGCTGAGCATAGGGCCTAATTTGCCAACGTTAAACCACGGCTTTAGCCTCAGTAGCCCCATAGTTTTTTTAATCATCCATTGCCTCAATTGAGAGAAGTAACTTTAGTTTAAAATTAAAAAGTGATTTCAATTAAAAAAAAAGAGCGTGGCATCTTTAACTGGAAAGACCATTTTGTTTGAATAGTGATTGTGAGTTTACACAGGGGCGTATTTTCACCAACAAAATATAAATATATGCTATTGTTGAATATCAATAAATATCAGATTTGTTGCTATAATTGCCACCACATTATATATACGTAGAGATATGCTAGCCAAGAATGACATGACTGGCCTGTCCGCCATACTAATGATATACGTTTCTTGGACGAGGACAATACATGTGTCTCAGATATACTTTCGATCATTACACTGTCCTTACCAGTATGGTTCTTTAGAAAAAATGGTGGTCAGATACTAGAAACTCAAGTTGAAATCCCACAGCACATTATATCTAGATTTTATCACATCATGGGAAAGAAATCTAAACTATCTCGTTAAAGTAACTTTTTGGCGGATGGTGGTTCCGATGTAAAACTGTTCACCATTATAAGTCGTGGATAAGAAAAAGTCGGCGGAATTGCATCCGGGTCGGTTAGTGATACGGCGCGGTTCGGTTCCGCTATCCAATGGAAAAGAACGGAATTGGAAACTTTGATTCTTTCCGTGTTCGACCTAATCGACTTCTCAGATAAAAACGCCAAGCGCCCCGAGGAAGCTGATGAAATTCCACACGTACGGAAACTGTGTCGACGTTTAACGCTATCACTCCGGTTTGAACAAATTCATGGATGTAAGGCAACGCCGCAAGATTCATTGTGCTTATATGGCTAAAACTTGGCACGGAAATTGACCTACATTTCTTAAATGAATATAAGCCCTGAAAGTATTTTCTCGTTCTGAAGCAGCTACGATGTGGAAGCTTCGACACCGAGGCATTGTTACAGCTAGAAGAAGTTTATTTTATCTTGTTTATTATTTTTTTGTAAAGCATAGGTGAGAGATGTTTCCAGTACAACAAATTTGCTCCGCAACAGGTGCTGCATCATGGGATGCCATATGTGTCAGCAACTTGCTATCCTGAAAAGGTGACTTTAGTAGGACTCAGTAAAACTTATTTAACCCTTTGCGGGCTATTAGTTTTTGTTGAGGATAGGTAAGCAAAGCAATTCAACTCGCAGTGGTCTTCGGTTCAGAACAGTTTATTGAGCACTTGTACATGAATATGTAAATACGCGACAGGTGTAGACCGGGCTTCCGCGTTACGCGATCCGCGCGCGTGCGCTGGCTGCTGTTGCTCTTCAACTGCTTCCTACGACTGACTCTGTACGACTGACTGGTGACTGCATTCCTGGTACGGCGCGCGTGGACGGCTGTTACTGTTACAAGCTTCAAGGACTTGGTGTTTTCTTGCCAAGACGCACATGCATACACTGCAAGTCTTGCAAAACAGAACCCTGTGCACAATTACTAACGCCCCTTGGTACGTGTCAAATGAGACTATTCACAGAGATCTTGATATCCCATATCTAAGGGATTACGTAAAACAACAGGCGCAGCGGCGTTATAATCAAGCGGAATCGCACAGCAACCATCTGTTGCGTGATTCAGTAGACTACACAGTCGAGCAAGTTCGCCAACATTCCAGGCCGCGGATTTACAAAATAATTCGACTAGTCAAAGCAATAATGCTTAAGCTATTTCAAATGATTTACTTCTTTTTTTTGCTCTATTTCTTCCTTCCTTTCTTTCGTTCTTTTCCATTTCCCCTTAAACATGTTTGGTATCTGGGTAGCCAGAACTGACAGACTAACAGACCGATGAGACGTTTAACTAAGAGCAAAGGTCCACCGGACCGCTCTGACGAATAATGACGAACAGTAAGCTTCAAGGTTAGGCGACGTGTCTGGTCGACTCGCCAGTAGTGGCATGGCATGGTGACGCTAGTACGCGTTCCAACAGTTTTACTATGCCCATTTCATTATATGAAAATTGGAAACACGCTCTATTTTTTGGCAAATAAATATATCGCTCCTCAACGGACCGGAAGTGACCTTGACTTTCATTTTTCAAATGGAAACCTGTATATTTTCTTCGATAATCGTACTCTAGCAAAATTCCTTTTCCATCGTAGTGTCGCAAGTGATATTTTTGTTTTAAAATGGCGGCGCTATAGAAATTTGTGGATAGCCTAAAATCCGCCATATTGCTTATAAAACAAAAAATATATTAAGCTGTCAAGGTGGCGATGTGATCAAAATAAAGGAATTTCGGGCAAAGTAATAAAAAATGTCTTTATTCTTTTTTTATAAGAACAGACTATTAAAACAACTCCACTTGATTACTACAAACTGAAATTATTATTATCCTCTCCTACCCTACTTTACCTATTTTCCAAACTATTCTAGTTATAATATTACAAAATTATAAACTAAAAAGTATTAAACATTCATATTAAAGATAGCCAGAACTGACAGACTAACAGACCGATGAGACGTTTAACTAAGAGCAAAGGTCCACCGGACCGCTCTGACGAATAATGACGAACAGTAAGCTTCAAGGTTAGGCGACGTGTCTGGTCGACTCGCCAGTAGTGGCATGGCATGGTGACGCTAGTACGCGTTCCAACAGTTTTACTATGCCCATTTCATTATATGAAAATTGGAAACACGCTCTATTTTTTGGCAAATAAATATATCGCTCCTCAACGGACCGGAAGTGACCTTGACTTTCATTTTTCAAATGGAAACCTGTATATTTTCTTCGATAATCGTACTCTATGCAAAATTCCTTTTCCATCGTAGTGTCGCAAGTGATATTTTTGTTTTAAAATGGCGGCGCTATAGAAATTTGTGGATAACCTAAAATCCGCCATATTGCTTATAAAACAAAAAATATATTAAGCTGTCAAGGTGGCGATGTGATCAAAATAAAGGAATTTCGGGCAAAGTAATAAAAAATGTCTTTATTCTTTTTTTATAAGAACAGACTATTAAAACAACTCCACTTGATTACTACAAACTGAAATTATTATTATCCTCTCCTACCCTACTTTACCTATTTTCCAAACTATTCTAGTTATAATATTACAAAATTATAAACTAAAAACTATTAAACATTCATATTAAAGATAATACAGTTCAATGCGTCCTCCATTATTTTCGTAGCCTTTATTGACCCTTCTTATGGTTTCTGCATGCAAATTGTTTAAAAAAACTTCGCATAAGGTGTTAATTGCTGCCGTTATTCGTTGTTGTAAATCTAACACATTTATAGGAGGCGGAAACTTTCCCCTTCAAGTAGACACAAATGAAAAAGTCTAAAATGGTTAAGTCGGGTGATCGCGCGGCCACCTAATTGGACCGTTTGATCCTATCCAACGATTCCCGAATATATCCGTTAAAAAACTTCTCTGCTGTTGTGTCTTGTTGAAATACAACATACCCATTGTCAGCCTGGGGCAAACCGTCAAAAAAATCTTTTATTTCATTTTGCAAGAACTTGAGATAATCTCTCCCGTTTATGGGTTCATAAAGAAATATAGAACCAACTATGCGACACGGGGATTACGTATCTTAAAAAGTGACAATGTATCAGTTTTTTTGACGTTTCTTAGGTTTTTATTTACATTTCGTAGGTCTTTCTACAAGATGTTAACTTAGCACAAGCTGTTGTACACTTGTTGTGAATTCGTCTTGTAGCTGTACGTGTCGCTTAAACGTCAGCAAACATCAATCATGGAATGCTCTATTTGTACACCAGAAACTACCTAGTCTGCAAGATTCGGAAACTTTGTCGATTTTTTGACGTTTTTTTTTTAGGTTTTCCACATAGTAGCAATGCGGGTTCCCACACTTTCACTCCAAAACGGTCATGAAAGGTCCATTCTCTTATCAAACGTGGATTTTCAATTGCCCAGTAGCTTGTATCATTTTTATTAAATAACCCAAGATTTGACAAACGCGATTCATCAGCCCACAAAATATCATAATGAGCATTTCTATCTTCTTAAAGTTGTGCACGAAACCAGTTACAGTGGCCAATCTTCTTGGAAAATCGTTTTCTTGTAAGTGATGGTGCACCCGATATTTATATGAGCTGAATCCATGTTTCTTCAAAATCTGCCTAGCTGACTCACGATTTACATTTGCTGCTCTTTCCAGTTGCCTAGTAGATACCCTTGGGTCGAGGTGAACATGTGCCAAAACATTTATCTCCGCTTCTCCTTGCACTACGAAAGAGTTCTCATCATCACCATTGACATCCTCATTTCTAAACCTTGCCTCTAACTTAAAAAATTATGAATAACTTGAATGTCTCCTACTAAGATATCGTTGAGTATAGAACGCATAAG